GGCATCACTAATACACTGATGACTAATGACTGGATCAGAAAGACAATGAATTTGGGGGCTGAAAACTAAGAGAAACCATGCAGTGCCCTGACAAATGGGCTTTCACAATTTCATTCACTGAATAACCTTTAAGCACAAAATTGGCTCAACTTCCCTTGGGAATAACTTGACGCGTGTTGTTGAACAATGATATAGGTATTTTTCCTTTTTTCACAAACCACTCTTACACTGGATACATAAGCAATGTTTGCAAGAAATCAAATTTGGGAGTTAATTGTTCAACAGCTTGGGAAAACAAAAATCCAAAATTTAAAGGGCAGGCAAATTTTGTGGCTGGAACATAGTTTTAAGCCCATAAACAGTTATAATTTACTTTCCTGCTTGTGGTGGAGCAGCCTCTTCTTGACAAAGAAGGAAAGAGATTCTATTTTTTTTTTTCAAGACCCAATAAGCAACCTTTGTAAAAGAAGATATTGAGATTTTACCTAATTGTTGAAATTACAACAGAGGTTTCATTTCCAACATACTAATCATTATCAAATAAACCAAACTTCATATAAAACTTTGCACTGCTTTGCCCCCTCCCCCACAACACCAACTCTCCCTTTTTGATGAAACTGGCCCCTCCCCCTAATTCCTTCAATATAAACAGCTTTCCAATTTAAAATAACAATTTGGGCTATTTTTACAGACAGAATAAAATACCTGAAGTGTCTCTAAATTAACAAGAGCCACTTAACCCAGACAGCATTGCCCTTAGCAGCTCCTAAAAACTTCAGAAAAGGGAGATCTTAAAACAGGAAGCTTAGTAAGCTCATAAAACTGTTGTTGGAGCCAGGAACACATAGCATATTTAATCTGCAAACTGTGAGAGAGTCTACAATGATTTCAGCAAGATCTGAGGCATGCCCTCAAGGTTTGCTGGGATCTGGGATTAGGGAGTTGATAAGAACCTCAACTGCCCATGGACATGTTTTTCTTCTGCAGTTAAACACAAATGCAGAGAGACATTTGACTGCTGCTTGGCGTTACTGCTCAAGTTATATAAAAGCTCTGCAGCTCCTTTTGCTGTCAATATATCAAAGTTGAAAAAAAATCATCAAAGTGTGAAATTTCATTTAAAGTCTTTGCCAGTCTACAGCTCTATTTCACAGACCTATCAAATAAAAGTAAAGATGAGGAAAATACACAGAGAACTTGAAAAAAAAGTTTTACAATGTGCTTCCCTTTTGTTTGCTTGTTGATTCCATTTCCCTTTATTTGTTTTTCTATCTTTAGCTACAAAAATGATTCTAACATGGACAAGAAACAGAACAGGGGAGGTAAATGAAGAAGGATGAAGGTGTGTTTTTAAAAATATTTTGATGAAAGGGTCATTTGAAATAAGTATTCAAATTTAGCCTGTTGTAAAAACAAGAACTTCCATGAATAATTTGAATATTAATCTGAATCCCTTATTGCAAACTGATCACACAAAATATATCCTGACTTCTTCAAACCAAACCAAAGGAACTACAGAATATCAAGGCCAGCCATAGGAAAGCCTTCCTCAAAGTATCTCTTCAGCTCAGGGGATTTACCACAATTGCATATACTGTAGTAGAAAACTCAAGAATTTTTGAGATAATCTACTATAGTCTAAAAGCATTAACATTCCATTACTAAGGTCTTCCTAAGAATGTCATGACTCACTGATTCACTCTTGTTTCAAATCTGCTTTTCCTTAGTGTGTTACTGTCTCCTCATGCCGGAGCGCATGCAACAATGACCATTAAACTGTTTCCTTTCATAATTCTCATCCTCCCCCTTACTAGAACAGATCCCATTTTAATAGGCATCAGATGCTGTACTCATAGTGAACATTGTAGAAATGTTTTCTGAAACACTTTCTAACATCAAATGAACACCTTTTCTGAGACAGAAGAAGGCTGTGGACATGTGTGACAAGTAATAAAAAAAATGAAAGGAACTGTAAAACAATTTCTGTATGCTTAAGTGTGTCGTCAAAAGATTAGTGAAAGCTAAAGAAAACTAAAGACAATTATCTTTCCACCTTTAAAATCAATGAGAAATTAGCAACAAGCTTCAAACAAAAACTAGCTTCTTTGAAATGAATGTTAAACTTTCCAACTTTCAGAACAAGTGCTTTCTATTCTTTGCAAGAGAAGCTCTGTTCAGTAAAATTCTACACAGAAAAAATGCTGCCTCTTTACAAACATTTCTGATCCAGAATTTAAATTCCTTTGGAAATAACAATAGATGCCTGAAATCTAATCATAAACTATTTTAATTTCAAAGGAGTGACTTTTCTACAAACAGCCTTCTACTTAGTATTGGCTACACACACATGTTTCACAAAAAGAAATCATCATGATAATGCATGTAGTATTTTTCCTTGGTTTATTGTTCTATATGCAGATAAATACTTCAGCAAAAAAAATATACTGGTGAGCCATTTGCAGTGATGCATCTTCTAGTTATGGATGCACATACACCCTTGAAATACACTTCTACTGACTCTCTAGACTTCTGTTATTTCTTTTAAGAAGCATACTCATTTTTGTGCTGCTCATTAGACTCTCATCACCCTGATCTTAAACATCATTATTTCAAAATAAATCTTATCCCATTAATTTTGCTGGAATCTACTTCCTGGTTGTCTCTCAGGAAACACAGTCTATTCATCACAAAAGCTCCAATCTTCTAAACACACTTGCTCCATCTGCAGTAACTCCAACTGATCTCAGTGGAGCTTACTTCTGAGCAAACATGCAAGAATGGTAGCTGTATTGTGTATTGTGAATTTAGCAAATTCAATGTTACTTAAGCTTTACTTTATATTAGGCTAAAAATAAACATCTGAAAGCCATGTAACAGTGTATTGCAACCAGTTGTCTTGTTTTTTAAAATCTTGATAGTGTATATTATTGAAATCACTCATGAACATTTTTTTAAAAATAACCTTAACTCAGCCAAAGTGCCAAGGAAGTATATCAGAAATCTTCAAATTTCTTTGTATTTTACAATCTGCATTTTTCCTCTCTAAATAATTTTTGAGATGTACAATTAATAAACTGCCAGATCCCAATTAATGTTTAATCAGGGGCCTAAAGGAAACATATATAGGTATCAATCACCAAGGCACCTTTCCAAATTAAAAATGTAATTGCATAAATATTCTTGAAAAAGCTAACATATAAGTTCTTCCGTTGCAGCTTTTAAAGAGCAACGTAAGAAGAGGCACTGAATGTCTTTCTCTCAAAACAGATGGTAATTATCCATATATTTCAAAATATATGGAGACTGCTTCTGTACAGATGGGCTTAAAATTGCAGGCTTAAACTTCAAAGCTGCTTGGCCTGGGAAACAATATCTAGGTTTTGCTCTCCTCTCCAAAACGAGATGGGCTATAATACACATAACTTGTCTGTCACAGTTTGTTTTAAAGGACTCTGCAAAATGGACAGCCACCTATACCTACATTTTTAAAAAGTTATTCTAGGCCAGGATGCGAATGGCCCATGATTTCAAACTGAAGTGGCAGCCGGAAAATGTGGAACAGCTGGCAAAGAACAGCTACAAAACATTTTACATAGATATCTCCACATATAAACTGGCAGAAGACCACAACCACCAGACCCAAACGATGGAATCAACAAGACACTCCAGAGGATTCAAGCACTAGGGGTTACGTTTTTTGTTTTGTGGCGTTTTTTATCCTTTTCCCCACATGGTGCTTTCAACAAAAAATACCCAACTGGCCTCCTCTCAGAAAGGCTTCAGTTGTGAACAATCCAAAGTTGAAGGGCTACCCTAACATAACAAAACAAAACAGATACTTCCCGGAGCCTTTTAGTGTTGTTGTTTTTTTTATGTGCTGACTTGCTCAAGAGTCTAATCTGAATTGCTGTCTGCAACTATTTACTTTGCTTCTTCTTCCAAGCTCCATCCAGCCTTTTTCCAAGTTTGAGAAACTTAACAGTTGAGTGTGATTCATACAGTCTATACCATCCAGAGGATGAAGTTTGGGAGAGGGAGCCAAAGAGGGGTGGCGGCAGCAGAGGGAATAAAGATAAATCTGGACAAAATCCTGAGCCAAGGAGATTGCAGGTTGCACCTTGCCAGAATAACAGAGTATCAGCTAACAAGAGAAATGGAAGTCTCTGATGAAGCAGGCTTCTGTCTACAAAAGTTGGTGCTGGTAGTTAGTTGCCACAGAATCCATTCCTCATTTTTCCAAAATAAAAAGGAACCATAATTAAAGTTCAAGACAAAACTTTCCACATTTTGACCCAGAAGCTTTGCCCTGTCCTCTTTGCACCCACTCTCTTTCCCCACTTTCCAAGCAAACTAGAGAGAGAGGAGACATCCTTCCTACCACTACAAATAATAGCAGACGGTTGTGTACAGTACCACATCCGATCACTTGCTTCCACCCTTCCAGATGTGGCAAACGTCCAGCTGCTAGAGAAACTGCTGGCAAGAAAAGAAGTCCTCTTTCCCCGTCCCCCCTCCTCTCTCCTTCGAAGAGGCCAAGCAGCTGCTGCAAGTCTACAAAATGTGCAGTCCAACTGAACTGTGGGACGTTAAGCCTCCAAAATCCCCTCCGAGTGCAGCAGACACTGCAAGAAAGGGAGGGAGGGAGAAAGGGATAGTAGCTGAGAGTGGAGCTTGAACGTCCCGCATGTTTTGCCTTCCTAGTCTGATCCAGCCCATGTTTACTCCAAAGTAACGTCATCCAATTCAATAGCCATGGCACCGACCAAATAAGCGTTCAGAGGATTGCAACCTCAGCCTCCCTGCCAAAAGAGCTGCGAATCTCTCCAGGTCCTTAAGTCTCACCCTCCTGGCCTCCCCATCCTTTAGAGAAAAAGAGAGAGAGAGATCAAGCATAATAAGGAGACTCTTCTCGCGCCCTCCTGCGAAAAAACACAACGAAACAGCCACTCCGGCGCGCGGCAAGTTAAACAAAGAACTTTTAACACTCGCACACCCCGTACCTGCTGCCGCCGCCGCTGCCGCTGGAGTCAGTAGGCTCCCCAAACTTCGCATAGGAGAAGATCGGGGCCCTTCCTCACTTGCGCGCCTCTCGCTGCACACAATCCGACCACTTGCTCCGCTGCCGCCAACTCTTACCAGCACCGACCCCCGAGGATGAATGAGGGCATTTTGCTTCTGTTTTGGAGTGAGGCCGACAAGGGGAGGGGAGGGGAGGGGGTGAGCTGAGGAGGGGAGCAGGAGGGGTCTCCGTCGGTCTGTATACGTGCGCGTGTTTATCTCGCTTTATATTTTTGCCTTAGGGAGCGCGTTCGCTCCCTCGCTCGCTCGCCCTCGCGGTTAGTATGTTGTCGATTTCTCTCTTTTCTCCACCAAGATCTTACATCAGTTCCACAGATCCTGTAATCCGATCCCTTCTGACTCACTAACCCTGAGTGACATCTCCCTGATTCAGTGCAAGAACAAGAAAGAAAGAAAGAAAGAAAGAAAGAAAGAAAGAAAGAAAGAAAGAAAGAAAGAAAGAAAGAAAGAAAGAAAGATCTCCAACGCTAACTAGCAAATCAAAACTTGTCCACAGGCAATAAATAGAGTCTACCGCGGCCACTTCCTCCTCCCGGATCCTCAGAGCGGGATCTGTGCGGGGGAGTCTCCTCTGTTCTTTTCCGATTTGTTTCCTTTTCTCTCTCTCGCTCTCTTTTAATCCATAAAAAAACAAACAACGCTCATACTCACGTGTTCGAAAAGTTGTCTATTCTGCTCCTTTCTTTGCCGCCGCCGCAACTCTGCCCGACGTCCAAGTTCTGCAGATGTTGGAGGGCTGTTCTCTCCGGCTTCTGCACCCCCACCACCCCCTCCTTGCCTCCTTCCCTCCGCCGCCGCCTCCCCCTTTCGATGTTCAGGGGAGGGGAGCTGACCTACGAGGCAGGAGGGAGAGAGAGCGCGGCTTTCAAATCCCCCACTGGCAACTGCTGCGGCGCGCTCAACTTTGCGGTGCGCGTCTCCACGTGCGGGACGAGGGGAGGGAGGGAAGGGGCATTTCTTTCCCCCAGCGTTCCTTCCAGAGTTTGCTACCTTCCTCCCGCCTGCTGGACCACCTCGAGGACGTCCTCTCTGCTTGCAGGGGCACCCAAAGTTTAGAGTTTAGAAGTTAAGAGAGGCGTTCGGGCGGCAGGAGCAGAATGGCGGGAACCCGAAAGTGCCCGGGGCGCGCGGTGACGAGGGAAGGCGACGGGAATGTGGGAGAGCGGCGAGGAGAAGGCTTGGGGACCCTCCAAGCCCGCTCGCCGGCCCCCGTGCGCGCTCCCCTCGCTTCCCGTCCACCCTCGCCGGCCCCTGCCAAGGCGGCCACGGAGAGGCCACGCCCACCACTAGGAGGAACACGGAGGGAACTGGGATGGTGCCCCTCGCAGGGGTTCCTTCTTCCTGCCTTCAGAATTTTAACTTGCCCCGTTCCCTAACAATACTCTCCGATTATTTATCATTATTATTTTGTCTCTCGCAGATTCAAATACACAGCCCCAGGCTCCCGTTACCTTTTTCTTTCGTCCGTGCAGCTTCCTTTTAAAAAGCACACTTAGGCAAAGTAGAGGAATGTGCGCGCCCGTGGGCTGGTCCCCCTCGCTTTACCTTTGCGCACCCCTTCAGCCTTTTCTCGTTACATATCTAATTTATTCAGTTTCATGTTTTTAAATCGCTGAAGTGTAGGGTTTGGTTGCCTTCTCACGGCTGCTCTTCAGGCTGCTTCTCCTGTTACTGTTAAAAGGCCTTGCCTACTGTTCCGTTTCCTAAAGCACTTGTTGATAGCTGAAGATTGGTCATCTGACACTGGCACCCAGAGTACTCTAGAGCCTTTGTTTTGTTTTGTTTTGTTTTTCATATGGAAATAGCTAAGGATCCAAAGCTGTAGAACCAAGCAGCTCGGTGCTTCCCACACCCCACCAGGGCAACCTGGGGTTGAAAACGTTATTTTAGCATGAGCAGAATGTTTAGGCAACACATTTATGAGCTCTACACTCACCAAACATCTGTCTGTACTACAGTCACCAGCTGGGTTGCTGAGAAAGGAGTGTTTTAGCTGAAGCCAAAATATACAAGGAGCTGCCTTATTCCAGACTTGGCTATTTTCCCCTCTAAACCAGTACTATATTGCTCTGACTGGTAATAACCCCCTAAGGACTCAGGTGCAACCTCAAGATTAGAATGGCTAAACCAATGAATTATTATCAATATTTATATCTAGATATGTAAATGTGTAACTAGATATATAAATGAGTATATTTTAAACCTAAATGGAAATCAAATTTGAATTCTGTTATACTGTGCTGTACTGTGTTGTTTTTAATCATATAATTTGACATTACCTTTGGGCTAAAGCAATCAAATCAAATTTATGAAGATGACTCAGAAGTTTTTCCCATCACTTAGTCCATGAGCTTGGAGTTGCCAAGGGTTACATCTTAGTTGAACTTTGTGTATGCTGTGCAGGTGCTTTACTATTGAGCTATGACCCTTCCTCCCAAGAAGTCTGATGTTCTCACAATCAGAAAAGGAGGGAAACACATATTTTTGATTTGCACTACTTCAGACTGGAGGTGAAAAGTCGAGGTGAACAGAATGTGTGTATTGAGTGTGAATACTGTACAATGGATCCCCTGAACATTAGAAAATAGTGTTTTAGAAAGAAGGTTGCTGCTGCCGTATAAATATCAGGGAAGAAGAGTAGAGTGAACAAGGGACCAGCAGAGAGGGGCATGGAGCGGAGGATTTGCAATATGGGACAGCAGCCACAAAACAGCATGAGGGAAGAGGGGAGCCTCAACTTGCACTGCACCACTGGACAGAAGAAAGTCTGTTCCTCACTATGATAAGATCTATGTGGCCCATTTCAAGTTATCTGGTAGACAGACAGACAAATTAAATAAGTATTAAACTGAACATCTGCTTTCATTTCAAAACTAATCAGTTCAGTACATTCAAATGTTAAAAGCCAACTCAGTTTCAACTTAATGAACATATTCTTTGTTTTGAAATCAATGCCTTAAAGAGCGGGTAGTATAAAAATCGGCATCCCAGTAAACATAGTAATAAGCACTTCAGTTTACAGAGCCAACCATAGCATAGAAATATGAAGGTTCACCCCAAAATGGGGAGGAAGACCCTTTCTCCTCCACAAAAATAAAAGGGGGTGATTTCTGTCCTACCATTTCTCCCCATTGCTTGACAAACATAAGTTTCCCAAGTAACCTCACATAAATGCTCACCAGGCTTTTGCTTAGTAGCTTTACTGTCATTATGACTTGTGTCTTCTATTAGGCACAAGTCATGATTACAGTAAAACTACTAAGTTATTATATTTGTTTTTAGTAGAGTTTAGGGATCCCTTCCCCCAAATTTCCCCCAGGATATCTTGATGTTTAGTTAAGTGAGCAAAAACCTTGGGCATATCAAATTTACTGGTATGAACATCTTGATAAAAGAGGTGAAACAGATCAAACTAATAAGCACCAAAAAAACCCAATGAGATTTACCAACTGAAATACAGTATAAATGTTTCATCACTTTGACAATGAAATACTAAGCAGAAGCTTAGAACATTGTAGGCCCTTCAGCAAAACAAATGGAAACAGGCAATGTTCTGTTGAGGTAAAAACCTTCCTGGCAATCTTTCATCTCTGTTCCAGAAAGTTCATGTCATTATTTCCATTACTTAAATTTTTAAAAATACATACACTCACATAGTTTATGATATAAAGTATTGTACATGGAGCTGGTTAACTATTACCTCCTAGTTACTGTCTCATCCAATAGAAAATAAAGGCTGCCTCTCACACATTACTCCATAGTCCCTTCCATATACCAAAAATAATGTTTTCCATTTTTATGCATTATGCTAATTGAGAAGCACTTTATGTAACTGGCTGAATGAATTGAAATCTTTGGTTTAACTATCCTGTACAATACTGCATGGTTTGTATATTTCTGATATTTCCTGAGAAAATTAAGACAGTGGAATGACACACGGTGAACATGTTCAAAACACAGTTCTATACTTCAGGTTTCAATATCGGCTAGACCTCTGTACTTATTTTCAAAACAGAAATGAAATTTAAAATATATTACAAAGTATATATTACTTTTTGGTTTGGAGCCTGACTTGAGGGGGGTGGAGGACAAGATGTATAGAAGGTATAGGATATAAAGATGAAATATTCTATTTCCATGCCAAAAAGTTTACCTGAAAATATTCCCACCATCTCAGGGGCTGTACAAAGATAACACAGAATTTAGAAGCACATGTTGTAGCATTCAGCCCTGCCGTCACCTGTCCGTCACAGCTGGGCAGTGGAACATCAGCCAATGAGGGGACGGACGGTGGTGCAGAAGGGGGAGGAGCTGGAATATATAAAGGGGTGTATGATGTAAGAGGGGAGGGAGAGAGATTTTGAGAGAGTTAGTGATGAGTGTGTCTATGGGCCTGTGAGCCAAATAGTCAGTGAGGGAAGAGTCTGTGTTTGTCAGTGAGTGAGAGAACTTGATTAACATCTTGTGATTTACTTACTTTATTTTGTTAAACCAATAAACAAGTTTTTGTTTTGAAACAACACTTGTCTTTTTTTAAATATTGGATAAAATTGGTGGCAGCAACTGAAGAAGAAGAGTGAGCACTCCTGGAGGCCTGAGATGGAAGAGGCTTCAGCGTGCCCACTACATTAACTGGTGTCCAGTGTGTGGGATACATGCTTGGTCCAGTATAGCCTTGGATTGGAAAGGTGCCCAGAGCAGAGCAGATCTTTAGTCAGGGAATCTGAGTGGACGAGTGGGTAACTTCCTAGGACTTTTCTCAAGGGGAGAAAGTCTAGTAGGAGGGCTCTGAAACTCAGATTGGGGTGGCTAAGATAGGGACTGACTCTGTGGAAACCATTTCTGGAGAGAGTTACCCAAAGCAGAATCTGTGGCAGGTTGGCTAGCTTGTCCTGAGTTCAAGGGAGAGCTCTGAGAGGACAAAGCGGAGGCCAAGGGCAGATAAGCTGAGGGGACTCAAAGTCAGCTAAACCTAGGATAGGGTGAAGCTGTGATTTTAAGTGGTTTTGCTGCCTGAGGCAGGGAAAGAAACTCTGTCTTTGGTGACAGGCCTAGCTGGTTGACAGAGGCCTAGACACTGTAGCTAGCTTACCAGTGGATGA